AAATCACCTGTTGGTGTGAGTGTGACAGTGTGTAGTTGTCTGTCTTTAAGAGTCAACCCTGTGATAGACTGGTGACCTGTTCAGGTTGGACCCTGCCTCTTGCCCAGTGTCAGCTGGTTAGGATGTGTGGAAATAGTAACAGTAGACAACCACAAACGTGTTTCCTCAAAATAGAGAAAAGACAATGCATCTTTATCAGATTGCAGGTTGACAATGAGTCATGTGTGGGTGAAAGTAGGCCAGTCTAAGAATGAGACACACAGGTAGTCAGGTGTGGGATTTGTTCATGGAGTTTAGCCAAACCGTTGCCTCTCCTTTTATTTGTATATTGCAGAATATGTGTGCATGATTATTCACACATAGTTCTGCGAGTTGGCACACTTGGTGGATGGGACAGTGAACTAATTTCTTCACCTAGCACAAACAAATTACAATACAAAAAATGGGAGATAAGAGGTGTTTGTGAAACCAGTTTGTCCAAGAGACAATTATTTCCAGTGGTGTGCTGGTCCCTGAGCCAAAATGTTACTGTGACCGTCCTGTTTTCACTGGCAGAACTGACATAATTTCACTAACTCCCAAAATAAAACTGTTGGAAAGCATTTTAATGCAGTAAGTAAACTGACTAGAACCATGTGTGCTCATTTTCCTTAATTGTATTTTTATTTTAAAAGGCTGAAGGTTGAATTTAGAGTATCAGAAATATGTTGACTAGGAGGCAGAGCTGAGATAAAGCGGAGAGTCTCAGTGTCTGAATAGTTGCTGTATAAATTTCACCATTTAGAAGACTGGCTAACACAAGAAATTTTGTTTTATGATGCGCAGCTCTGTTACACCCTGTTGTATTGAATTTAATTAAACTGATTTTAATTGGATCTTTAACTATAAAGATTAATTAAAACTGAAAACATCTTTATTTAAACAGCAAATACAACAGCAGTGAGTGAAAAGATGCAGGCTGAAGTAAGAGCTGTAGAGTTTGAATACAGATGTACATACTGTACATGTTTGAATAACATGGGACTCTTGGCAAACAAACAAAATGACATAATACAGTGAGATTTCTGGAAAGACATAAATATATTTTATATTATTATATGTACAGCTGCTGAGCTGAGAACACCGTGACTGTGTGTTACATCATTTAGGGTTTGTTTGGCAGCCATGATGAAACTTCACATGGCCCCACAAACCCAAGAGGCTCTTTACAGACATGTAATTTACTTTTACAAGCCCAGCTTTAGTAGGTGAGAGTCAAAGATTGAGAAATTAAAAATAAATCAGCCAGTGTTTGCATGGTCCACTTGAGCAGTGCTCCAAAGCAGAATGTAATACAAAAATGAATTCTAATCTAGATGTACAGTCTTGGCTAACTATGAACCTGATATGTTATGGTAAACATATAGATTTACTGATACAAAATATTTGGACAATGATAAGAGCTTTCAGTGTTTTGGCTCTACTCCAGCGCAATGACTCTGAATTTAAAGAGCAGATTTAAGGGTGTTTGGGGTGTTCACATCAGTGCACAATAAATATTTATGCACTGTTACCTAGTTATTTTTTCATTTCAAATCTAAAGTGCTGAGGTTCACAGCCAAAATAACCTGTCCAAATACTTACATACTGTGTATGATCTCAACCCCGTTGGGCCTCACAGGCTCCAAACAGCCATAAGGTTTTTACAGTGACTGTAAACAAAGTAGCGAGCTTGCATGGAGATCTCGCGCTTGTGCGGTTGACTCTTGCTTACTTCATATGCTGTAAAAGCGTATGGCTGTTTAGAGCCTTTGGGGAAACATTTTTAGCAAAGATTCAAGTCATATGTTTCGTAATGAAGCAACATGTCACCAGTGCAGCGATGTTTTAAGTCATTTTTGAACAACAACAGAGGTCTGTGGCACAGACAAATAAAATAATCCAGACTGGAGACTGACAGATATTAGGTAATTCATTGTTAGTTTTAGTTTCTATATGGAGAAAAAATTATTGATATAGAAAATGACTGGCCTTATCATTTAAGTGCTCAGGAGCACTCCCTCTCGCCCAAACGATGAGCCGCCCACTTATTATCTGCAAAGCAGAAGCAAACAAGCGGGCACTGCCAACAACAACAGGCCAGGGCAGTCACACTAACACTGTTTCAAGAAATAAATAATTGATTTTTATTGATTTATTCTTTCTTTCAAGCATGTAAAAACAGTTGATATGACAACACACATAATTTTACACATAATCCAATATCAATTTGCTTATACCTAGTACATGCTTGAATGGAGTAGGAAGAAGTCAGACTTATCCAGTCCTACCCCATGACATCATCTTACCATCATTGGTTTGCAAGCAGTATCTCTACATAAATAATTCTCTTCTACACCACACAAGTAATATACTAAAAAAATTATAACAGAGTGTTAACATTCTTACATAATTACATTCTTAAATAATTATCTTCTACACCACACAAGTAATATACTAAAGAATTATTACAAAGTGTTAACATTCATACACCACACCCACAATGTTCCATCTAATCAATCATTAAGCCTGTTCTTGAATATATCTTGATTGACACATACCTTTATATTTATGTTTAAACTCATCAATTCTATTACTATTTTTT